AATATGATATGAAATAGCTGCGTTTTCATTCACATCTTTATCCGTTGCACTTACATAAAATATCGACTTTCCAGCAATGTTGTTCTCTGGCAGATAAAACTGTAATGGATTTTGGGAAAATTCTGGACTGTTGTCATTTACGTCTGTTATCCCAATGCTTAACATTTTAACTGCAGATAAAGGAGGATCACCGCAGTCAGAGGCAACTATTGTTATTTCATAACTTGATACTTCTTCACGATCTAAATGTCCCTTTGTGACAAGTGAGTATATATTCTCCTTGTAGGAAGGTTTTAATTCAAATGGTACATCATTAGTTATGCGTGATATTATTTTCCCATTGACACCAGAGTCTTTATCTGTCACACTGATCAGTGAAATAACTGTTCCAGGCTTTGAATCTTCAGACACTGTATTTGACAATGAAGTGACTTCTATTTCTGGTGCATTATCATTTACATCTTTTATCTTTATGATTATTCTGCACCTTCCTATTAATGGAGGAGTTCCTTTGTCAGATGCTTCAACATCCAGTTTATGAATGTCTGATTCCTCAAAATCTAGCTGTCCTTTCAATTTAATTTCTCCACTTAAACTATCCAACTCAAAGATGTCATAAACTTTGTGTGATAATGCTTTGCTCAAGCTGTACTCTATTTCTCCATTAGTCCCGTCATCTGGATCTATTGCATTCACTTTTATAACACTCATGCCAATTGAGACATTTTCAAATATTTCTGTTTGATAAGTATCTTGGCTAAACGTCGGACGATTATCATTAACATCAAGAACAGTAATAGAAACATTTAGTGTTCCTGATCTCGGAGGTTTACCTCCATCAACAGCTGTCACAAATAGCAGATGTTTATTCTTTTGTTCTCTGTCTAATGACTTCTTCAGCACCAAAAATGGTATTTTGTCCTCATCGCTTTGACTGAAATCTATATCAAAGTGATCGTTTGACGTTATTGTATATGTGCGGATAGAGTTAATTCCAGCGTCAGGATCACGGGCCGCATGCAGTTGGAATCTTGTTCCCGGAGATGTGTGTTCAGCTATAAGAAATTGTTGTTCTTTTTTAGGAAAACTGGGGGAATGATCATTGACATCAGTAATTTCCACAACAACATGGTGCATTTCCAGCGGATTTTCAACCAGAATCTTTAGCTCCATCAGGCATGAACCACTACCGTGGCACAGCTCCTCTCTGTC